CGAATTGGAAAGTTCTTCATAAGTGTGGGAGAATCGGTCCATAAATGACAAATTCTAAATTACTATTAATTTTCTATTAATTCTAGTGAATCATTAAAAATGGCTCTTAAAGTTCTAATAATAATTCTTACATGTTTCCAGCAGATTCCAACACACATCCTTGTCTTCCACAACACATTTCTTAGGAATATATGACTATTTTCCATAAAAGTCAAATCAGTCGTTTATATTTACTTATTATTTAATCATCACTTTTTTACATTTTGCACATTTTGTGTATCTGTAAGAAAAGTGGTGTAATTTTGATATACTTGTATCAAATTTTTGGCCAATAGTTGGACATTTTTTGTATATTTTCACGTATTGTTAAGCGAGCCTTATTAAAGGTCTATCACCATTATCCTAAAAATAAGTAATTTATGGTATTGTTAAATGATATTATTTAAGAATTTAATTATAAGAAGTGGGACCATCAATTGCCTTAATTCGGGCCACATATGTATCACCAGAGAATTTTTCTTTTCTTTTGAGCGCTGTTGTTTAGTTTCCGACACATGAATATATTTTTTAAGTATACTTTATTTAGATCGTTTCATAAGATGTATTTTTATTTTTAAATTATATTTAATAGTTTTTTTATATAATCTTTATAAAAGCTTGCATGGGGAGGGGGTGAAGTGGACCAACTGAACCAATAGTATACAAAAAAGTGGAATAAGTTGAATAAAATTTTAAGTATTTTTGTGTAATAAAGTAATAATTATTAAGTTACTTTCTCTGCTTTTATTTCTTAATATTTTTATAATTTATTTATAATTATGAGTGAATTGATTCTCAATTAAATCTCAAATTTACGTACATATGTATGTAAAAATCATGCAAGTTTTGGATTTTTACAAAATTGAATCACACGAATCGTCATAGTATCGCATCGGCAATTCATATTAATTTTTTGTGCAAATTATAGAATGATAGCTTGTCAAATCGAAAAAATCGCATTTATCTTTCGCGATTTAATAAAACATTATAACTATGATATGCGAATTACGAGTATGCGTAATTTTCATTTAAAAATATATATGTGATACATATGTATGGACACAGGTTTTCAACCCCTTTTTTCCAATGGCCGTTTTTGATAAATCGCCGAAAAAATTATTGAAAAAATAATATTTTTAGCCGTCTATATATCTGTCTCCCTATCTATACATGTTTCCACGTAATTTCGAGTGGGAGCAGATACAAGAGAGAGGTTGCATGAAGTTGAATCGGTATGGAATCTTTCATGGTTTTTTATTTCATTTAAAAATAATGATTTTTTGGCCAATGGTGATCGAACATTTTTTCCCTTACATATTTATGTATTTTTATGTAGATATATGGCGGAATGAACACCATATGAAGTTGAAGGACGTCAATTGATGACAATGGCGGAATGAACACCATATGACAGATGTCAGTTGAATAACGTCAATTGATGACAAAACTAAATTATATTGGGCTACGTTGATTCGGATCTGGCATCAAGCAAGCTATAACGATCTGATTGTTTTTATACGATCGAATATTATTGTCGCGCTTTTTAAAACGATCGAAAATATTGTATCGAGTTTTTGCCAACGAGCGTTTTCTCGTGATCGAAATTTAGATTTGATTTAATGTAATATCAACATCTTTATCAATTGAGACATTAATAAACAGTCATTATCGAGTTGAAATAAAATTATTGCGATTTCATTCAAGAATTAATTAATTAATAATATATGGCCCACCAGCGCCATAATTGGTGACTCCGAACGTGTAAGTGAAATCATTAAGCAAGAGACATTCTCAACGTCTTAGTACCCATAATTGGTGACGTCAGACGGAGAAAGAAAAACACTTGTCAAATACAAGTAAATTAATAAAGGTAAATTATACCAATTTTTATCAACATGTCGACTCGATCTACGTCCGTCAATGACGAAACAGCGCTCAACAGATCTCTGATCGATCTGGATCACGAGGCGATCTTTAACACGAGCAGTCCTCGTGTTTCTGAACATGAACATGACAGTTATGCTGATCAATACAATATAGCAGCATTTAACAATCACCGTCTCACTCCATTCAATGGAGATTCTCCAGACCTATGGTTTTTAGTTATTGAACATGAGTTTCAGTCTGCTAGGATCAGGAGTGACAATACTAAGTACACAGCAGTACTCAAAGCCCTAGACTTCGAGACACTGCGCCTCATCCAGGATGTCCTCCGTAATCCACCAATGACAGGCAAATACGAATATATCAAAAACACTATATTAAGCAGAATGTCTGAATCTAGAGGTAAGCAAATTGACAAGCTATTAAAAACTTAACTCTAGGAGAGAAGAAACCATCACAGCTCCTACGAGAAATGATGAATTTGGCTAAGGGAGAGGTCAGTGAAGACATCATAATTAAATTGTGGTCAGAACGCCTGCCACACCATATTCGGCCACAATTAATAGTTTCTCGCCATCTTGGTCCGGAAGCCCTGGCGGAAGTTGCCGATATTTTAGTCGATCACTGTAGCCCCACATCACATGTGATGTCCACAACACACAAGTCTTCAGTAGAACAGAGACTGGACCGCCACGAAACTCTTCTTATGTCATGCGTCCAGGAAATCAAGGAACTAAAGGCAATGGAAACACTGAAAGACAGAGAAATGATCAGCAAGAATCACAACTCAACCAGTCAAGATCAAGAAGTGAACAACTCAATCAGTCAAGTTCTAGAAGTGGTTCTCGACATAGGTCCAGGACACCTTCACGTGGATCGGTTTGCTACTATCATTACAGATATGGGGAGAAGGCCACAAAGTGTGAAGAGCCCTGCCTGCTTAAATCTCTAAACCAGTCAAAAAACTTACTTCACCGTCATTAAGTGGAGCTTGCCATGACGGTGAAGTAAATTCTGTCTGCTCTGAGCTCCGTCTTCATATATCAGACAGAAAGACGGCAATCCAATTTCTTATAGATTCAGGATCAGTTATATCCATTTTACCAGCTCAGAAGTTTGCCGATGGTCATCCTAAGGAAGAGTTAGTTCTATTTGCAGCAAACTCTAGCAGAATATCCACGTATGGAAAGAGAACTCTGGAGCTGGATTTATCTTTACGCAGAAGCTTTAGCTGGCAGTTTGTTGTTGCCGATGTAGCCACAGCCATAATAGGAGCTGATTTCCTAAGCAACTACAATTTATTAATAGACTTGAAGGGTAGAAGATTGATTGATTCGACTACAGGCCTTACCTCTGATGGAAAGGTACTCAAGGCACAGCAAGTTAACATCTCCACTGTCAACCCGGCAGAGCCCTTCAAGGATTTACTGGCACAATACATCGCAATAACAAAGCCACAGGTAACCACCAATAATAAATCATCTCTTTTTGCCCACAGGATAACCACAACAGGTCCACCATTAGCTTCCAGATTCAGGAAGATCTTCGGAGAAAAGGCTGTTGCAGCCAGGTCCGAGATACAAGATCTCCTGAATAGGGGCATTTTGAGGCCTTCCAACAGTCCATGGGCAAGCCCTATTCACATGGTTCCCAAAAAGAATGGCACATTCAGAATGTGTGGAGACTACAGGAGGCTGAACGCAAACACGCTGCCCGACAGGTATCCTCCACCATTAATACAAGATGTATTCAATAATCTTCATCAAAAAGAAGTATTTTCTACAATAGATTTAGAAAAAGCTTACCACCAAGTACCCATGCATGAAGAGGATATACAAAAGACTGCAATTATCACACCATGGGGACTCTTCGAGTATCTACGTATGCCATTTGGACTCAAAAACGCTGCCCAGACATTCCAGAGGTTTATCAATCACATATTCCAAGATTTTAATTTTGTTTTCATTTATATAGACGACATCCTGGTAATGTCGACTGATATGAATGAGCACCGTCGTCATCTTCAATTGGTTTTTGAGAGCTACAGGAATATTCTCTTACAATAAACTTAGAGAAATGTGCCTTTGGAAAAGATGAAGTTAACTTCCTCGGTTACAAACTGAGTGCTGCAGGATATTCTCCTTCACCAGACCGAGTAGAGAAAATTATTAATTATCCAAAACCTTCGACAGTTATAGAACTCAGAAGATTTTTGGGAATGGTAAACTATTATCGTAAATCAATACCCAAGGCAGCAAATATACAAGCACCACTTTATGAGTATGTGAAGTCCTCAGTTAAAAACGACAAGACTCAAATTGAATGGAATGACAATTCATTATCAGCATTCAGCAAGCTGAAGGAAGCTCTAGCAATGCAACTCTTCTTCATTTTCCTTCAAGTATAGCAAATATTAATTTAATTACAGATGCATCCACAACAGCCATTGGAGCAACTCTGGAGCAGGAAGAAAATGGTGCATGGCACCCTATAGGTTTCTTTTCCAGAAAGCTCACAGCTACTGAACAGCGATATTCAACTTACGATCGCGAACTACTAGCCATCTTTGCGGCTTTAAAGTATTTTGAATATCTATTAGAAGGAAGGCACTTTATAATCAAGACAGACCACAAGCCAATCACACACGCATTTCAACAAAAACTGGAGAAAGCATCAGATCGTCAGCGACGGCAGCTAGAATACATATCACAGTTTTCCACTGATATTATATATGTGAAGGGTGATCAGAACGTTGTTGCTGATGCGTTGTCCAGGATCAATGCCATTCAAATGCCATCAAAGCTAACCGAAGAGGAAATTTCGCAAGAACAGAGTAAGGACGTTGAAATGCAAACTATATTGAACGGCAACACCTCTATTAATCTTCAAAAATTGACATTAGGGGGGTATCCAGTTTATTGCAACAGGCAAGATAATTGTGTGAAGCCCTACTTCCACAAAGTCTTCGCAGAATTGCTTTTGACATTGTACATGGAAATGCACACCCAAGCATAAGGATTACTTCAAGGGAGTTGCGAAGAAGGTATGTGTGGCCTGGGATTGGTAAAGACGTCACCATGTGGGCACGTCAATGCATTCCTTGCCAAAAATCCAAAATTCATAAACATATTCACCTCACTCCTATCCATATTCCTATTCCTGAAAACAGATTTTCGCATATTCACATTGACATAATCAAATTGCCTAATATTAATGGATATCCTTATTGCCTAACAATTATCGACAGATTTACAAGGTGGCCAGAAGCTGTTCCTCTAAAGGACATTTCTGCAGACACGATTGTCCAAGCCCTATTTTCAAACTGGATATCAAGATTTGGTACACCATGTGTGATAACATCCGACCAAGGATGCCAGTTTGAATCAGCTATATTCAAATCATTAATGAATGCAATAGGTGCTAAGAAAATACGGACAACGGCATATCACCCTCAGTCCAATGGCCTAGTTGAACGCTGGCATAGAACTCTGAAAGCAGCTTTAATGTGCTCTCCTGAGCCTTGGATCGAAGTATTACCTGTAGTCTTACTAGGTTTACGTTCTTCATACAAAGAAGACCTTAAAGCATCTCCTGCTGAGATGGTTTATGGAACCACATTAAGACTACCAGGCGAATTTTTCACAACTAAAGAACTGTCATCCGATCCACAAGCATTTCTGGACTACCACAGAAGAATAATGCGGGATATTAAACCTACAGCCACAGCTCATCATAATAAAGCCAATATGTTTGTGCTTAAGGACATAAATACATGCACTCATGTATTTGTAAGATCAGATCATATCAGAAAACCACTTGAGCCTCCATATAGTGGACCATATGAAATTATAGAAAGAATTTCAGACAAAGTGTTCAAAATTTCTATGGATGGTACTGATAAGAACATATCGGTTGACAGACTAAAACCAGCATACACAGTTAAAATAGATAACAGTCAACCAAGCTCATCTCAAGAATTTAAATCACATAACTTGGAGTTATCGATTGACCCTCCAAAAAAGATGAAGCCTAAAAAAGTCTCCTTCAAATTTTAATAATCAAATTCATTTATTTTTACCGGATACCTCTTTTTCTTTTGAAGGGGAGTTATATGGCGGAATGAACACCATATGAAGTTGAAGGACGTCAATTGATGACAATGGCGGAATGAACACCATATGACAGATGTCAGTTGAATAACGTCAATTGATGACAAAACTAAATTATATTGGGCTACGTTGATTCGGATCTGGCATCAAGCAAGCTATAACGATCTGATTGTTTTTATACGATCGAATATTTTTGTCGCGCTTTTTAAAACGATCGAAAATATTGTATCGAGTTTTTTGCCAACGAGCGTTTTCTCGTGAACGAAATTTAGATTTGATTTAATGTAATATCAACATCTTTATCAATTGAGACATTAATAAACAGTCATTATCGAGTTGAAATAAAATTATTGCGATTTCATTCAAGAATTAATTAATTAATAATATATGGCCCACCAGCGCCATAGATATACTCCCAAATGTATCATCATATAGCATTTGGTAGAATTTATCCCACATCATTTCGATTTCAACAATCATATGCTTACTAAATAAGTATACAAATAAATTGACTATGATGAATTAAAGATTATTTAAGTTTCTCTATTAATTGAATTATTTATATATATATATATATATATATATATAATATATAAATATACCGTTTACCGTTACTGTATAACTGAATTATATAATTTCATCCGCCAAACATCTACTGCATCTTATATTATTTTAATTTTTGGTACATCTCAGCCGCTTTTCGGCAATAATAATGTAGACATTACATTTTTCTTATTCTTAATATTGTAGAGATTCTTAAATGAATTGTCATTTCCGGCAGATGTAAGAATATTTTCAATGTCAAACAATGGCATGTCGTTTTTTGCAATTTTTTTCATTTATTTCTACAATATTACTATATTTTTATAACCATTCACATTCTAAAAAATTCTCTTAAACTACTGAAATAAGTATCAAAATCTGAATAACCGATTTTCAAACCGGTTTTTCAAAAAAAAGTAGAATTAAAAACGGTTTTTAGTAGAAATTTTTGTGTTTAGTGTACCCAATTGCATAAAACAATTATTATCACTAAAGTAGTTAATAAGTTCAGGCAAAAACTACTTACTATCACTCGAAAATTCCTGTTATTCAGATTTGAATTTCAAAAGCGAATTTGATCGAAACCGGTTTGTTGAACCGGTTCGACCTATAAAGTTCTATTCAAAAACCGGTTTACTAAAATGTCGGTTTTTATAAACGCAAGTATGCAGTATGTAGTATAAACAAAATATATAATTATTTAAATTTAAATAAAAATTTAAATATATTAATAAAATGGCATATTGTGAATTATACTCGCTGGGTGTGTAAGCATTATTTTGTTTTTTCAATTTCTTACTCTCATTTAATTTATTGATAGCCGTCGAATACTAAAGAGTGTAAAAAATGTAATTAAGAAAATTGACAATTTAATTAAACAAACTTAATAATACGAATTATTTCAATTATGTTTCTTTAATTCGAATTAAAATAGAAATTCAGTTTGTGAAGCTTTGTGCTTAAATTCTATTTATCAATTATTGTATAGATCGTGTATTGGCAATTAATCAGAGTCACTGCAAAGTAATGAAGTGCCGCAATGTTTTATTCTTATTTTCTCGCTTTTTTAATTACTAATTAATAATAATTACAAATCGCCCGCCCGATATTAATTTATTATAATATCGCGTTGCATAATTTTTTATGACTTTTTTTCCCGTCGCCTTTATTAATAATGGCTTGGGTGATTTTTTTCAGTTTTTTGTCTTTGTGATAAATTGCGAATTATATTTTTGCGGGAATATTGATAAATCTACTACGGCACTGTGGGGTCTGATTTCTAAATATCATTAAGAACTTGAGATTTACGTTAATTAATAATTAAGTAATAGGTGAATTTATTATTATTTATGATCTATTGCGAGTTTATGATTTGGGGTTGCGGTGTTTTGATTCAAATTTTAAAAGTAATTTGTAAGTTCTAACTTTTATGCTAACATGGTATCAACTTGTTACTTTCCAATTGTTACTACAAAAATCGGGTACTGTTTTGTTAAATGGCAATGGATAGCCAGTTTATTCAACTCATCAAGATACCTTTAATTTTTTTTTATTATTATTATTATCAATTATATGATTTGAATATCTTGGAATGTAATAAGAATCTGTAAAAATACAGTAGGATTTTAACAAGATTGCAATAAGTACCAAACAAAATATTCTTATCAAGGATCTTATCAGAACTCAGCTAGAACGTAAAGAGAATTCATAAGAATTCAATAAGAATTTTATAAAAAAATAATAAGAAGAAAACAATTAGAATGCAAATAGGAGTCTTATAAGATACCAATATTTTAAAAATGCCAACATATTATAATATATAAAAAGCAATAAGAATTTAACAAGATTTTAAGAATCTTGTGAGAATCTAATAAAAATCTTTAAAACTTCAATAATAGTCTCAAGAATCCGATAAAGATCTGTGACAATGAAATGAGAATCCTATTGGCAACTCATAATAATTAGTTTTGTAAGAATCTAAGATTCTATATATATAAAAAGTTAGGAATCATTAGGACCATAAGAGTCTTAAAATAATTTTTCTATTCTTGTGAGACTCCGTTGAGGAATGAGGGTCAAATCATATAAGAACAAGGGATCTACCCTTAAATCTTATAAGAATCTAATCCAGATTTCAATAGAAATCTAATTTCAATGGAAATCTATTCAGAGTTCAATAGGAATCTATTGGTAGTCCAACCTTATAAAATCCTGATTAGAATAAGAGTCCGGTAGGATAAGAATCTGCAAACAATCCAATAAGATAATGAGAGTTCAATAGACAGTGAGATTCTTAAAAGGGATCTTATAAGAATCTGTTCCAATATGAATCCAATTGTAGATCTTGAGGAATCTAACGGTTATCTTATAAGAATCTCAAGACTCTTAAAAATAAGAATCTGAAAAAGAATTCCCTAGTCCTTGACGAATTTCTTCTAAAACTTTGGAATCGAAGCAACAACAAGAAAACGTGATCAAAAGATTAAAAAATCGGCTCACATACACAAACACATAATTTTTAATAATATTATTGTTATTGATTTTTGATTGATTGATCATTATTGTTATTGATTGAATATCTGTTTCGAAAGCAACAAAACTGTATTTGATTTAAATTACCTTTTTTATTTATTCTCATTTTGATCACAAACTTAAGTTGTACATTTAATTATTATTTTAAATTATAACTAGTTTGTTATATGGAATTATTCCAAATAAATCTGCTTAGAATCAAGTTAGATTTAAATCAGGTTCAAGCTAGAATCTAAATAGCATCTATTTAGAATATACTTAGAATTGAAATATAAACCCTAAAACTCCAATACCTAAATACATCAAACACTCCATAAATAATTTCAGTTTTCACACACCACGCGCTATTTATATTTATAGTTAAATGTTACAGGTAAGCAAATATACATTTCATAATTTATTTTGACAAATACATTTAAACCCTCAAAAAAATTATTTTTATTTATTTCCACTGCAGATTACATAATATTTGTATAAACATCAGTAATAAAACCATATTACTTCATTTACCTGTAGGCACACGAATTCCACAAATGCACGTTTGAACGTCAGTAATCGAAAAAATCGCAAAAAATGGAAAAAATCACAAAATACGTTTCGATTCATTAAGCACGTAAGAGGGAAATAGAACTGAATCAGGGTGGGTTGGGAACGAACGGGGTTATAAAAATTTAAATATCGCGCGTATGTAAAAATATTATTAATTCGTATTACATAAAATATCAGGAATTGCAAAAATAGTGCAATACGACATTCTGCGGTATACGCGTGGTGGTGGGTACAAATTGCAATTTGCGGATTTTTTGTCGATGTTGTAGATTTATCGATCGACGGAATTTATTTTGTTAATTTGATATTCATATGTCGATGGTTATATTTTAGTTAGTGTCAGGAATCTTTGGATCGAATCCTGTCATTGACCTAGAATTTAAGAAAAAATATATATAGTTAATTTAAAATTTATAGTAGGAATAGAGTAGGAATAGAAATTCCATAATTGTAGTTGTATCGGGAGTTGTAATACTCGCTGAGATTAACTCTTTCCATTCGGATGCCGACGCTCCAGCGGCAAAATTCTTATAAATCTCGGAATTCGCGAGTGGAAAGGTTTAAAAAAAGGATGAAGAAACAAAACAAAACGGAAAGAAGATAGGAGTTAAATAGAATTAGAACTTTGAAATGAAAGAGCAAGAATTGAAGAGAGAGAGAATGAAGAAGTCAAATTGAAGAAAGTAATTCAAAGAAATTGAAGAAGATATAGAATGGGATATATGTCTAGATTGAATATGATATAAAATAATATAGAATCTGAATAAATAAAATGTTGTAGATGCCTGAGGCCAAATATAATTATAAAAAAATATGTTTGTTATGGGATATTGCTTTACTATATTTCTTTTGTATTTTGGATGTACGGTATGTACATCCGTCATCCAAGACCCCGGCTAGATAAATTTACCACCACATTAACCAGATTGTAAAAATGTTCATTAATATCTGTCAGTTTTTAAAATCTCTGAGAATGGTTAAAAGATTTTGTATTTTTCAAAGTTTTGTTTTCAAGTATTACATTGTTTCACTTGTTGTACTTGTTGAGTATTATTATTGCACTATATTTTTACATCTATCCTAAAAGTGAAACAAGTAATATTTTGGACTATTTACAGTGATTTTGAAATTGGCAGAATTTAATTTAGAATAAATTTTATGTTTAACCTGGTCCTGGTATTGTTCTCCTTTCTTCTCTTGGGCAAATACGTTCGGGTAATCTTTGAAGCGGCTTTTGTACTTGTCTAAATGTGTTCATATTTCATCTTGTCATGATGTCTGCGTCTCCCTGGATCAACTAATTTGGAACAGACTTCGAAGCATTTAAAATATCTTTTAATGATTCATTCAGACATCTTTGCATTTTTCGGATGCTAATTATGAAACTGATCTCCTTAGTTGTAAGCATTGTCTTGTATTGATAATGTGTAAAAAAATCAATAATGTACTGATATCGTTTAAGCACATTTTAAATTATTGTTAATTATATCATTATATGCTTAAATGTCATAAATTTTACAAATATTAGCAATAATGTTTTGCATCCATTTTTTGCATTAGGTTCAACTTAGTATTCATTTTTATTATAGAAAATACAGAAACTTCATTATAAATCTAAAAAGATTTTTATACAACTATTGTTTAGATATTTGTATTAACTAAAAACATTACAGAATTAAATGTTCTAAAAATATATTCTCCAAAATATAGTTCTACTTTGAAAACACCAATGATTATCTTCCAAATGGTATAATGTTTTTATACATCCATATTCCTTTCATTCGATCAGGCGCACATCACTAGTTAACAAAATATTTGTAAAAAAGCGAAAAAAACTTTTTTTTCGCAATTCACAAAAATAAACACACACACACACATATATATATATATATATATATATATATATATATATATACATAAGGGGGAGTTTCGTAGAGAGGCCCCATCAAAAAAATATATATCCATTAAAATCGGCAGAGTTTGAAATAAAATCGCGTTCGGTAGGCATTATTTGCAGAAATAAAAATGTAATGATTTCATTAAAACGGCAGCAATATACATACATACACCCGCATCGGATAAGGGTTGGAAAACATAGGCAACTTTGAGGGAATAAGAGTAATAAAAAATAATTTTGTGTATGAAAAACTTTGGATTTGTTGTTCTTTATTTGTTCAACTTGGAATATTCAATATATCAATATGTAACAGATTTTTGTTAAAAAAATATAAATAGATAGTTATAAGCGAAAATGTGTCATTTATTACGTGGTTGTAGTTGACAAAAACTAAAGATCCAATTTTTGGGACAAAATAGTTATGTTATGTTACCCATTTATTTTGATAAACAATCGCTCGGTTGGTGTCAAAAATTAATGTTTTTGCTGAATGATAGGACGTTTTATACAATATTAACTTCTAACCTCCAAATGGCACTAATGTAAAATAACAGTGTTAGTGAAGTCAAACTGAAGTTATATACTGGAGTTTACGCCCTTTTGGATTTTTTTCATTTTGATGCGTTTTTTTCATAACAATTTCTAATTGCTTATTATTTACTAATAGAAACTTTGTATTTACCTCTTTTAGAATAGTATATTCATATACCAGAGTATTTTATCCCATGTGATTCCTGAGTTAATGTGGCCCAGGCCTAATTCTGCAGGGATATGTTTCGGTCGCCTATCATATACCAATCTCTGCGAATATCACACACAAAACTCTTTCATTGTTAATGATACATTTCAGTTCATTTTTGTGCCTGGCCTCGCTTTTTTTCTACATTTTATGCCGTATGAAATATTTTTTCGCGAAATTAAATCTGCTATAGATACCTGTTTTATTCCTATTTTTGCAATCTTTTGTCCTTTGGGCGTTGTATATTTTTAAAATTGCCATTGGTGATTTTCATTCGCATTTTTCAAATGGCGTGATCTTTTTTCATTAAATATACAATCCTGTAATATTACAGAAATGTGATGTTTTATTTGCTCCGTGCAAATATTATTTTGGGTAATTGTTGATTATTTGGTAAAGCAAACTTTGCATTAGTAAGCTTTACGTTTGCTGCACTAATATTTACAATCAAATTATGAGATTTAAATTGAAATTTTTCTGAAATATGGTTGGTAGATATTTCGTATATAATGAATACCTATATAAATTAATAATTATCTGTTAATATTTATAACGTTATTTTTTATAAATTTTTTCTAACTTTTATTATTTTTTGCATAATCATATATTTTTTAAATGCACTCAAAAAATTTATTTTTGCAATTGAATTGCAAAAAATTGACTTTATAAATATGATTTAAACATTGTTTTCAATATACTCAAATATGTTCTTTATAATTAAAGGAAAGCGACCGTTCAAGCGAAAATTCCAGCCAAAGTCCTGATCCAGTCTCAAATGCCAACGCCATCAATTCTCTCCTTACTGGACCCACTTCCTCTATCTACCAGAGATCATCATTGCCGACACGGCAGAAATCTCCAACAACGCTGCAAGAAGAGAATAATCATTTTTCCAGTGAAAAACGTCTTAACAATAACACAAGCCCAATAATTGGTAGGAGAGTCCTTTGAATCAGTTAAATTTAGGAGGATTGGATGCCAAGAGCCTTGGATTACCAACCAGAGATTTGGTTAATAATAATGCAAGTTTAGTTGGTCATCATCTAAATGGAACTGGTATGTAGCTTCTGCAATTTTTGGTTCAGTTTACTTTTTTACATGATTTATTAGCCTTGGTATAAACCTAAGATACTATAAACGTTTGTACTTTAGAACATTTTTCTTATTTATTTATAGTTGCAAGCATGCTCGGTTTACAAAATCTTCCACCGTTGGGAGCACCATCTCCAGTCACGAGTCAAATATCATCTCGCCTTTCATGTACTCCAGCATTAGGAGCTCCTTTGAATTTGAGTGTTGGTGGTCAACCACAAGGTAATTCTTTCGAATTTAGAACATCAATAAGTTAATATTTTAAACTAAATGTTTAGTTATAATATCATTCTAAATAAATACTATAAAATCTGTAGGGTTATTCCGAGGATTAACCAGCTCACCTTCGCCAGTGAGCATGAACGTCCAAGGAGCAGTTCCAGCCCCCATGCCTCAACTTATCTTGGCTAGTGGTCAAATGGTACAAGGAATACAGGGTGCACAACTATTAATACCCACATCACAAGGTATAATAAATAATACCGTGCGAAAAATTATATACAATTGTACATCAAATATTATTGGAACAACTAAGCGATTACATTTGCAATGAATAATGTTTTATTATAAAAATTTTCAGGTCTAGCAACTCAAACAATCCTCACTATACCAGTGTCCCATGTCAATACAAATGACCAAATGGTAAATCTAGCCCTCTCCTCCGGTCAAGTTATAACAGCTTCTTTAGCAGAACTCCAAGCAATGGCTGAATCTACCAGGCAGATGCAACAGCCTTCTTCAGATGAGCAACTTGTTCGCGTGCGACAACTTCTTGACGCTTTTCGCAAGCAGCAGCAAATCAGGGAACGAATGGATAGAGAAGTCAAAACTTCCAGGAATGATCATGTTGAAAGTATGGCGATTGATCAACATACTAAATCGACAATTGAACAACAACATGAAAAGTTGATGGAGCAACAAATGGAACAGCATCAACAGAAGATGCTGATTGAGCAGCATCAACAAAAATTGATGATAGAACAACATCAGCAAAAGCTTATGATGGAGCAGCATCAACAGAAGTTGATGGAACAAAGATTGTTGGAAGCAGGTGAAAGAGAAAGGAGTAGAAGTGAAAAGACTGTTCGGCAGCATATGAGCATGGCGTCTCACAGGTGATAAAAAATAATGTATAAATTATATACGCAACATATTAGTGAGGAGAAGAATTTCGTAAATCATGTTCCACATTTGCTTATAATAGCTGAATATCAATTTCAGGTTTCCTCCAATGTCTTCTGAAAATGTTCAAAACGGTCTCTCTACATCTAATACAACATTATCGCCTACAATACCACGGCTAAATGGAGAATTAACAATAACACCAGCAAACACCAATAATAGCTCATCCCTTGTCAGTTCATTAGGTAGCACAGGCATGAATTCTAGTGGAATAGGTAAATGACAAAACTCAACTTCTTAAGTGAAAAATTTAATGGTTTTCTAACAATATTACTACAAATAACATATGTTTTTTTATAGGCTCGAACTTGTCAGCAAATTTATTAGGTGGACTACCAAGCATTCTTCAACAATCACAAGACCACCTCATGAGTTTGAAAAGGTCGCCAATGTCCACGCACAGCGAGCAGGACGATGAAAATGATCTCTTGATGGAAGATTGTGGAAGTAAGCAAAATATGCATTTTAGATAGAAAAATAATTTTTGTAGCATATTTTTAACGTCTACCATTTAGAGTAGAAAAAGAAGTGTGCAGATCACAATTTCATTTTTAATACTGATACTTAATACTAATACCATTATAGTCATTTTTAATAACATATATGTTTGTTCCATTAAAATTAACTTTCTAGACGAATTTAATTTTCCCAAAAAATCGATTTTCTAAATTTGCTTTTTGAAAATGTTACTTATTGTGTAGCCGGTCAATTTAGGCCTAGAGGGTGAATGTTACAATAATAATAATTTCAATTTCACGGGTCGATTGTGATTTTGTCTGTTTCAAAACTGTTGCAAAATTATCCTGAATATCCTTTTTCTCTTTTCTTGGTCCTTTAACTTTACCTGTTTTTTTATCTTTATCTGGTACTTTACCTTTACCTAGTGCTTTATCTTTACTCGGTCCTTTATCTTTACTTGGTCCTTTATATATTTAACAGGTACTTTACCTTTAAATTACCTATACCTGGTTTTTAATTTTACCTGATCTTTTTTCTTTACCAGATCCTTTACCTTTACCTGTTCCTTGACCCACACTTGGTCGTTTACCTTTATCTGGTCCTTTACCTTTATCTATTCCCTGACACACACCTGGTCCTTTACTTTTACCTATTTATTTCACCTGTTCCTTTACCTATATCTGGTTCTTAATTTTACCTGGTCCTTTACCTTTACCTGTTTCTTTACTTATACCTGGTTCTTTTCCTTCACCAGGTCATTTACCTTTTCTTTGTCCTTTCATTTACCTTTACGTGATCCCTCCTATATCTTTACCTGGTCCTTTTATTTATCTTTATCTGTTCCTTTCCTTCACTTTACCTGTTCCTTATTTCATCTTTTCCTGGTCCTTACTTCACCTTCCCCTGGTCTTTCTTCACATTCCCCTGGTCCTTTCTTCACATTCCCCTGGTCCTTTCTTCACCTTTCCCTGGTCCTTTTCTTTACCTTCCCCTGGTCCTTTTCTTTACCTTCCCCTGGTCCTTTTCTTGATTTTTTCCTTCATCTTTACCGGGTTGTTTACCTGTACCTGGTCCTTACCTTTACCTGGTCCTTACCTTTGATAGGACCAGTGGTCTTTATTTGGCTTTTTTTAATGTCCAATCCAGAAACTATATTAAATATTACTATTTACCACAGATCAACCAACAATAAACCAAACAAACTGCAACACTGTGGATGGAATAAATCTAGATGAGATAAAAGAATTTGCTAAAGCCTTCAAATTAAGAAGGCTCTCTTTAGGTTTAACGCAAACCCAAGTCGGCCAAGCCCTTTCGGTCACAGAAGGCCCGGCTTATAGTCAGAGCGCCATTTGCAGGTATGTCTCTTTTGTAAATAGATAATTTTAATAAGCAATATTCTTGTGATGTTAATTTTGTGGAATTGTTTGCAGAATATTATAATACATACATATTAAAAATATAATTAGAGCTTGTTCAGCTCGATTTGATGAAGTACTACCATTCATTTAACTTTTATTTTCGATAAGGGCACAAATTTTAGCCATTGTTTTAAAATAATATTAGCTTCAACATCATTACTAAAATATCACAACTCATATTTTCCTAACGTATGGTTTCTACAGCTCATAATAATGAATATATCATTTTGTATCATATTGTTTGTCTAATTTGTCTTTTAATATTTTAATATAATTTGATCATCTAGTTTCAAAAATGAACAAGTTTTGGAATTTAAAATTAAAATCATTTTGTTGCGTTTGCAGTGCCCTGGCCGCACAGATGTTTTGCGCTGCTCAACTATCGACACAACATCAAAATATGTAAATATCAATTCAAAATAATTTATCTATATATTCATATACATTTCTATACACATGAAATCTTTAAAAAATATATTAATAAAACTATATAGTTGTAAATTAAAAGTGCCCGATTAATACATTGATTTTCACAAATAGTAACAATTTTGTAGTAAAAGGGTTATAAAAAGAAAGTCTCTGTTAAGTCTTCTTTATATACTTGAAAGAGTTTGTTTGCACAATTATGACTATATAGTTTTATATTTATTTTTTGTAAGCATTTCTTTAATTTTTTCTTCATTTCTAAAAATACTCATTATTTGTGTGTGGCCAGGGCATTGGCATCTAAAATGATTATGAATGATCATGTCTTAAAAACTAACTTATCACCTAAAATGTGTCTTTTGCTTTCCAATAGAAGCCTCAAATATGTCAATGTCCTGAGCTAAGCGCAAATCATTTAATTTATGTTATATTTTAATACTAAATATATAATATTAATCCTATAATTAATTTATTTGTATTTAAAAAAAAAAGTATGTCACATCCAATAAGCACAGCAACTCGATTTAGAAGTCTCCAACAATAAAATTTTAAAGTTATTTTATTTCAACGCCCTTTGGCTTCTAATTTTGCAGTTGCATTTTTTATAACAATTCTTAAATTTATTTCTATCAATTTTGAATGCATTGTTAATAATGGATGTTCTAAACTGTTCTATTAAATTTGTAACCAATTCAATTACTTTTTTTCTGGAAAGCATGTACTATCCAATTTTAGATCTACTGCATGATTATTTATCTATTTTATTGTTTGACATATTTCATTGAGTTTATTTATAGCATTTAAATTTGTGTTATGCAGGTTTGAAAAACTGGACATTACACCGAAAAGCGCCCAAAAAATTAAACCTGTTCTTGAGCGATGGATGAAAGAAGCTGAAGAAAGGTACTTGGATTTTTCAATTAATATGAAGTTTTACTTCATTAGATAATGATTGTCTAAACTTAAAGGATAACATCATAAAATTTTTGTTAATTTTTTTTTGGGGTGGAAAGAAAAGAAATAAGGGAGTCTCCATTATTCACGTGAGGTTTTTAAGAGATGGGAAGGGTGGTTTTTTACCAAGTCCGTTACCTTTACCTGTTCCTTGGCCTATATCTGGTTCTTTACCTTTACCTGGTCGTTTCCATTAGTTCACTTAGTCTTTTCTACCTTTACCTGCTCCTTTCCTTTACCTTCACATATTTCTTTCCTTTACCATTACCTGGCCCTTTCCTTTACCTTTACCTGGTCCTTTACCTTTTGTGGTCCTTTACCATTACCTGGTCCTCTACCTTTTGTGGTCCTTTACCATTACCTATTTCTTTACATTTACCTGTTCCTTTGCTTTTACCTTTACCGTTACATAGTCCTTTACCTTTACCTAGGCAAATTTTACAAAACATCGCAAAATATCACATGGGGGGAGGGGTATAATAAGATATCACGTGTATTTAATTTTTGCCCGAATATTTTTCAAAAATGTACAATTTTTTCTCGTAACTAAAATAAACATGATGTTTGGTGGGGGATGGGGGTAATTTTGAATATCACCACGAATCACCAGGGGGGTCCAAAAATCTTTAATAAATCGATCACGTGATTAATGGATGCTTCCTAAAACTTTGATATTTGTTTTTGGACTCTAGGGTATGAATTTCATGAGATTTTTGAAAGGCCCTAAAGCGGCAAACAGTAGTTATCTATCCAGCAGCAAATTATATTATATTAATTTAAATATTGTAAATTTATGGCAAATGTTTTATGTTCATGTATTACGGATGCATATGTCACGTTGTCTAGGTACAAAAGTGGACAGAACCATTTGACCGACTTCATAGGCGTGGAGCCATCCAAGAAACGAAAAAGGAGGACATCATTTACGCCTCAGGCTTTGGAGTTACTAAATGCCCATTTTGAGAGAAATACACATCCTTCAGGTAAGATAGTTTTTTACTCCAATTTATTCTAAAAATACTTCTTCCTTCGAATAATTATACAACTAGTCATAATGCATCGGGTTGGTACTAACATATTTGTAACTACTAATGGCCAGACGAGTCTACCATTTGAAAGGAATTATTTTCCATTATTAACCAGAAGGAGAAGTTTGAGAGAATATTCAGTAGCTTTTTATTGGTGGCGGACCCTATGTTTTCCAGAATTCTGTTTTCATTCCTTGGTCAACATTTTGTAAGCCACTTTCATTTAGTTTAATTAAATTTATAATTTTAATCGATTATCAATTATCCTCAGGTACTGAAATAACAGGGTTGGCCCATCAGTTGGGCTACGAGCGCGAGGTCATCCGCATCTGGTTCTGCAATAAGCGCCAAGCATTGAAGAACACAGTGCGCATGATGTCCAAGAGCATGGTGTAATGTAAAAATTTACATTAGCTGTTCGTGATAAACACTAAAAGTTATATTAAAAATTAATGGAAGAAGACGATTGACTTCTATTCTATTCAGTTACACGAAGAAAATCATCACAAGACACAAAGTGCGCAGTGTATGAATTGCTTCGACTATAATAATCAATACGCACTGTGAAGTTGATTTAGTGGTCAAACTATTCTGTTTAAAAACTTAACATTTAATTGATTATCATAGAATCAATTATATGCAAAAGCTATCAAATAGGTAAGTTTGCACAGTGAACGAACTGGAAATTAATCTAGCTAATAAACTTATTTGTTAATGATAAGTAACAAAATTATGAAACAAAAGAGGTACACTAATTAAAAGTGTAAATTATTTAAATACTTTTAGTTTGAATTAATAAGCGATTGCTTTAAGATATCGCAAGCTATATGTTAGGAATGGAGATTTTGTCTTTCAAATGGCCATATGAATAGAACGATCCAGTGATAACAGTTTACATAATTATAGATTTATGAAATTAATCTCAAAGAATATGAAATATGATAGATATTTTACCTGGTATTTGAATACATTTGTTTATTTAAAATTTAAAACAAAATTATGGACCGATTCTGCCGCATAACAGACCAACGTTGTGGCAAGGCTACCTTATGAAGAACTTTTTATACTAAATATTGACAAAAGCCGTGTGGTTGCTGTGCAGTCAGGCAGGTTTTTCTCAAGTTGTCAGATAGAAAATCTAACCTAGAAACCGCACAAATGTCAAAAAACGATGTTAGATAACAGGGTCTTTCTGACCCAGCTTCGTCGAAAACACGATGTGAGATAACAGGGTTTTTCTGACCCAGCTTTATAACGTACGAGTAACATTGCATTTTATATGTAAAACGCCTGAATGCACAGCAAATACATGACATTTTGACAGTATTTAATATAATTCTGTAGCATAATGTATGCAAGTTGGAGCACACAACATGGCCTCGCCATAACATTGGTCTGTTATGAGGCAGAATCGGCCCATAACATTATTAAAAGTTGTTTAAAATACCTAAGAGAATCATATAAGTAGTTGTGCATGGTGTCTTACTTCTCAAGAGAGTTTGCACACAATTTTTAAATAATGCAATATTATTCATGGTCATTTTATTATAATCATAGATAATTGATTCTATTTGAGATTTTTATTTATGCGTTGATCAAAGTTCACAGCCCTATTGTGATAATTAATTGAATATTTGAATAATTTTAATTTATTCTTCCTGCATCATTATTATATTTCTTAAAAGGCCTATTTGTTATCAAACTGTGGATTTGATAAGCCAAAATAAAATATGGCAGTATGTATACGTTTAGCATGTATCGCATTATACACGAGTATACTAAAATAACTTTGCTATTAAACTTTAGAGTTAGATAGGCCTCAATAAAAATATATATAAAATATTCATGAAATTATTGTTGTATACCTCTATATATTACCAGAAACTTGGTTTAAAAAACGTATATATAGACCAATAAACTCCGTGTGATGTGTTTTGTAATGTATATAAATTATTAAGATATAGAAATCAAATATATTTAAGTGATGTATTTATAATCATGATGACAAAATCAACATGCAATCAATTCGGACTTATATAGACAAAAAAAGATATTTTTGGCAATGTATCCAAATTTGTACATTTCGAAGTTAGGGACAAATGAAATTAAAATTTATTAAAGTGAAAATAATTGTATAAAGTAATTGTATCGCCAAACATTATTTGCGTTAATTTATTAATCATCTCGTGTAATAATGGTCTTTATTCCATAATAGTTGTGCGAAGGCCAAAATTATTTTTAATGCTTAAAATTGCCATGTGTATGTATAGTTGCCATTGCGGAATGGTAACCTATAACAAATACTTATTTAATTATTTGGATTTATTTTTAGTTGAGTATTAAAATCATATATATTTAATATTTCATAGAAGCATGTGCTAGGTTTAGAAATAATGTTTACCAAAAAAGAAACTGACATAATTACTAACAGAATCCTTTATAATATTTTGGTATTTTATCTTAAAACAAGGCATCCATATTTTTGATCAAGGAAAAAGAAACTAGTTTTGCATACATGGACTTATTGATACAGCTCATATACACTAGTGTTCTGCCGTTTTGTATTTTATTATCTAAAATACTTTACTTTTCTTAATGTTGTTAATAAATTAATGATGAATTTATTTATAGCATTTACGATGATTCATGTCATTAAATGCATCATCATCAAAATGCATCCGAAAGAATCATAGGGAATGCAATACTGGTGTACCGAAATACCGGTATAATGGTATACCAAAATACTGGTATAACGGTATACCAAAATACTGGTATACCGCTCGAATTTTCGGCGGCATTAATACCGGTATTTACCTAAAAAATACCGGTTTTTTGGAACAAATTTATTTTCAACTTCCATTTAAAGTTTTTTGGTCTTACTCATACAATTGATTTTGGTAAAAAGTACTCCATATACTAGATATTAATGATGAGTTGATTGAATTGGATATAATTTTGATAAATTATTATTAAAGTAATGAACATATTGTTTTTCCATTGTTTAGTTGTACATATTTGTGGTTGTATACAACATTCAGTAATTTTGATAGTTTATTGTGGTTGTATATATAATTTTTTATATTTGTACAAATAATTTTCAATTTTGTTTACATTTGTTCAAGATAATAAAAATACCGGTATCACCGGTTTTAAAATAGAAACTACCGAAATACCGGTATTAAATTTTTTTATTGGTATAGCATTCCCTAGTAAGCATAATAACACATAAATTATAACTTCTGTCAGTTTTGTTTTCAAATTAGTTAATTATCAGGTATTGTAAAAATTCAAATCAGGTTTCCGCTCAATCTGGTCGTTAAAATTTCTATAATTTGTTAACGTAAATAAAAATCCAGTTGTACTATTTGTGGATGAAACTATAACAATTTAATATTTAATTTGAAATTTTATTAACCCTTTCGCTACAGCAGTGTTTTTTTGCAGTAGTGACTCTGCTGTACAGTACAACAAGCCGCACTATAACTCTATTAAACAGGAAATATAGACTAACAAATTAGATTTCTCACTAATTTAATTCAGAGGGATAAATTTTGAAACAAAGTTTGACAAACTGTATTATGTCTCTAGACAAAACTCATAATAATTAAATTATCTAATTTGATTAACAAACTAAATTTAAACCTAGCACGTTGTCACAATCACGATCAAGTTGATTTTTAATATCGGTTATAAACATTTCTGTGTATGTGGCACATACATAAAAATATTTATTTATAGCATTATCGTTTTTTGTATAATGACATGTTTTTATAACACGCATAAATAAGTATGTGATACAGCAGCATACATATATAAAATAAATTATATAAATAATATTGAAATAAATTATAAATAGTCACTGGACATTGAAATACATATATAAAATGATATAGTATGTACGTAGTATAAACCCTATTCCTCAAAAATCTAAACATGAACATATACAAACTGTAGACAAACATAAAGTTTAATTCGATAAAGCGACATAATTATAGCACACATATGGAGTCAAAAATACAAATTTCTCACTTATTTTTCAATTGTTCAGACATAAATCATATTATTCATTTAAAAATTTAAATTTTTACCTTGCCTCACCATCTAAATCACTATTTTGAATATTTGCTCTATCTAGAATTTACATGAAACAGAAAGTTTATTTTTTGCTTTTCTGCCACTTGGCTTCAAATTTTTAGTTTAGATCCTGGAAAAAGCTTTTGCAGGTAAAATCTATTTAATTCAGAATCTATATTTTATCGTGTATTAAATTTAATAATTAACTTAAAGTATATTTTTGTCGCTTTATCATATATTTAAAATATTACGTTTCAAATATAATTTTAATTGATAATTCCTAATACATTTTTCATTAATTTGTTAAATTTAATTTTGGAAACTGCAAATTTTAATAACTGCCATTTAAATGATCGGATTATACAGATTGAATGTTTCCTGCGGCACAGTAACAATACAATTTTCATTAAGTTTTAACTAGCTTAATTAAATAAATAAACACAATATAAACAAAATTCGTCGAATATACTTATATATGTATTAAATAGTAAGAATTCATGAATTATTTGTTCATTTTATGGTATAATATGACATTTTTTGAACATCATGTTATTTATTTCATTATTGTCACTTCATGATTTTTTTTAGTTAAAATAAACATAAGTTTATTTGAATGCAATATAATATTAATGCATTTTTTGCATCAGTGATGAGTTATTATTAGATATAATTTATTTCTGTACAAAGGCCGAAAATTTAATTATAAATCAAATACAAATATGCAAGTTTGTTTTATTAATATTAATATTTACTTCAAAGCTCTAGCATCTTTGCTGCATTAATGATAGTAACATTTTAACTTCCCGAAGTATAAGTTTATGTTTTCATCAAAAAATTCGATTTGCTAATTTTGTGTTTATTTTTTTTTTTTTGACAGTAGATACCATAGTCTTGTAGATCATACTAAAATATTACGGCCCTATGACAACTCGTTTAACTTTAAAAATTTGTCAAAGTTTGCACAAATTAGTATTGTTTTTTCGGCGTTTATAAAAATTAGAACTTTCATCGGCTTTTGCTCAAAAACGCTTGAACCTATTTCAAAAATTTAAAAGCCATTCGATGTATCTCAATGAGGATTATCGTTTCTCAGTTTTGTGCGACAATCGGCCTAGCCGTTTCTTTGTAATTTGGAAAAAAGTGTCAAACATTTCGTCCACATTTAATCTCATACTACCAAATTGATTTAAAAAAAATAAATACTGTTCGAAAATTATTAGTTGGGAGTAATAAACTGATTAATTTTACGTGAAATCTACCGAACCTTTTTCTTGTATCTCAAGGGGGGCGTCCATTAATCACGTGAGAGAGTTTTTAAGGATTTTTAGACACCCCTCCCCCTTGGTGATATTTGGTGATATTCAAAATTACCCCACCTCCCCCACCAAACATCACGTGTATTTTTAATTACGTGAAAAAACTGTAAAATTTT